CACGAAGTTGCTGAACTCCTGGAAATTCAGTTCCTGGTCGTTGTTATTGTCGAACCTCTTGATCTCGTCAGTCGCTTTCGACGCATCGAAGCCCAAATCCCTGATCAGCAAGTTCAACTCGCACATCTCGATTGTGCCGTAGGGCGGAAAGCGGTCATACTCCTTGAAGAACGACCTCAAGACCGGCTCCATGATTTTATCTTTCGCCAGCAGCGGCTCATCCCCGCCGCCGCCCTGTCCGCGGAACCGGTCCACGGTGAACTGCCAGAGGGCCTTTGCGTCGAACTTCCCCGCCTTGATCATCTTCAGGATCTGGTCGACCTCCTTGTCGACCTTCGACTGCTTGTAGCAATAGAATATGTAGCCCGCGAAGGCGCACACCGAGCTCACCAGGCCAACGAAGGCCCATATGCTCTCAGCTCCCGCCTGCTTCTCGGCCTCCCTGTTGTCCACATACTGCTCCTCCAGCGTGGCCGGTATCTGGATGATCACGTAAAGCATGGTGGTAGCAATCATTATCTTTGCGGTCTCCTTTGGGGATACCAAAGGTTCAAGTACCGCCACTCCCCAGGCCTCTCCCAGGTGCGTTCTGACCGGAACTTCGGTGCGAATCCAGCGGGGGCGACGAGGGCCTCCCAGGAAGCCCAGAAAGGCAAAAACGAGAAAGGGTAGCGGTATGGGTACCTCTACCTCCTCTGGTCCTTTATCTGGCTGTCGACCCTAACACCGCTGCTGCTCAGCCCGCGGGTGCCAGCGGCCCGGCTCTTGTAGTCCGCCTGCCCATCCTTTATGGGCACCGACCCGGCGTAGATCGCGATGAACCACGGGAAGGTCAGGAGCATCACGGTGCTGCCGGCCAGAGCGCCCATGCCCACGCTCACCTGCTCCTGGGCCTGCGCCCGCTCCTGACCAGCCTCGAATGTATCCCTACCCCTGACATCAACAAGCCCCAAGGCGATGACCATCCTGGGGATGTGCCTTCAGAAACCGAGGGAATCCGTAAGATGGGCATCGCGATGAGACGATGCCAATCATAGGGATAAGGACATGTTTCAGGCTGGTGAGCTCCCCCATGCCAGAGAAGAGCACCATCATGCCGTCGGGCACAGCGCCAAGAATCGGGAGCACCACGCTCCCCACCAGCCCCGCGATGGACGGCACCACCAGCAGCAGCTCGGAGCCCTCGGCGATCATCCCCGAGGCCGAGTACAGCACCAAGCCGTACACGACGGTCAAGAAGACTAGCTGCCCGAGGTTGCAGGACCCCGGCTCGACCCACGGGGGCCACACTGCGCTGCTCCGCTCCCCGAGCCCGCTGCCCTCCGCCACCTCCTCGGGCCCCTCCTGTTGTCGAGGGCTTAACGACTTCTGCTGCTGTCGCTCGACTCGCGCTGGAGCTCCCACGACCTCCTCCAGGTTTACCCGGATGCCCCTGGATGTGCCGAGCCTTCTGTGGACTCGCCCCGATCTGTCTGGATCTGCCTCGATCAACCTCGACCACCCTGGCTCGATCCCGCGGGCCCACTGGAGAGAAGCCATCAAGCTCCTGTGGAGCCTGCGAGCCCGCTCCCTCCGGCCCTGGCGCGCCCACGCCGCCCGCGCGGGCGCTGCCCGCGCGGAGGGCGGCGGGGTTGGACGCCCCCGCGGCGGCCACCAGTACGAGCGAGAGGGCGACTGGCCGCCACGCCGCCATCTTCGCGAGGGTCGCCGCTGCGACGAGCGCGGGCCGCGCGGCAGCCCGCCGCTCAGGGTGGGCGGCGAAAGGGTGGTAGGCCGCGCTGCCAGCGGGCCGCGCGGCCTTGAGCCACAATGGCTGCGAACACCACACTGCTTGCATGAACCAGAGGGCCAGCGTGAACAACGATGCCCGTGTACACCGCGCTGCTTGCGTACACCACAACGACTCTGTACACAACCACGCTTGAGTGCACCAGTGACGGTGTACACCACGACGCCTCCTGTTTCTGGCCTTCGAGCTCGCGCGCAAATCCCGCGACCTCGTCGGGGCAACTCTGACGAGCGCGCCAAATGTTCTCTCCATCTGCGCCATGACAAACCCGCTGTCACGCCCAAGCCTTCTCGTGCGATAGCGCTGGCGCTCGTCGTTCTCTGGCCGGGGCACGGGGCCGCTCTGGCGGCGGCCCTGCTTGCCTGAATAGCGCCGCGCCCGTGAAACCACAGCGCCCAGACGCTTTGCAGAGATCAGGAGCGATTCGTCGCAATTTTCTTCTGTAAAGTCGGCGGCGACCTTGAAACGCGCCGCGACGCCTGCGCCGGGGGCGGTGCGCCCGGCTTTGGCAGCATCCGCGATTGCTCAGGCGGCCCAGTGCCAATGAAACGCCCTGAAACGCCGGAATGGCTGCAGCGCTCGGGCGGATGGGAATTCGCGAGAAATGCGCCGTCAATGGCGCCGGGCGTGAAACTACAAGGGCTGCCCCTGCACCTTCTCCTCATCACATCATCATTACCCTCCTCCCCCTGTTCCACCCCATGCTTTTCATCGCCATCTCCTTCTCCTCCTGTCCCATTCCAGGATGTCCTGAAAGGTGGCGGCCGCTCTCTGGTTGCTTCGCGCGCCTCCCCAGCAGCATTCCCTTCGCAACCCTGGCGGCGGGACATTCGGCAGACAGCAGCCAGCAAGAAACGCAAACGCAGCCCCATCCAAGTTAGGGCATCATGCGAACTGGCAACCCCGAAAAACTTGGCAGCACACGCCTGGCAGCCATCGCGGCGGGTCGCAATCGTTGCCGTCGGCGTTGTTCTCGGCATCGGGTGGGCTCGCGTCCTCGGGCTCGTCCTCCTCGATCGGATCGACCTCCTCTCAAGTGCGGACGATGCGGGGCTTCGCGTCCCTTGGCCTTATGATGGCGTGGCTTTGGTAAGTCGCCGTGACCGTGCGGAACAGATCGCGACTGCGCCTGCGGAGGTTCACTTTTCTTTCAAGGCGCCCACGTTGGTGTCGGCCCATAAAAATTTGTTGGGCGGCCAAAAATTGACGCCGTGAGGACGGAGGTCATCAATGTCTTCCTCATCAAAGAAATGTGACGCCGTTGGTTTTGGCACCGTGGAAGGCCCACTGCGCCTTCCACTCAACCTTGAAGAAAAACCGAACCGCGGGCGGCCTCAGGGGTGAGCGACTCAACGGGCACGCCCTCCGCGTTGTCCGCGGGGGCCAACGTTTGGCCGCAAGTCCAATGCATGCAAAGCGGCGGCAACCTTGCGCCGAGCATGCCCCGGGCCCCCTCGTCGAGCACGTCGCGCGCCCCGCGCCCCGCGCATGGCGAGGAGCTTGCGGCGCCGACGACGTCGGACGGTGACTTCATCGATGACCCCGATGCTTGCTGAGACTCAACGGCGGCTCGGCAAGGCACGGGCCCGCCCGACGCGCAATGCGCTTCGCATCCCGTGCTCGCCGCGCCTGCTCCCTTGTCGTCATCGTCCGCGACGAAGACCAGTGGTTCCTGGGTCTCGGTCTTCACGTTCGCTGCGGAGACAAACTTCCGCAGCCCCCGCTGCTGCGCGGGCGCCGGGGCGGCCTGTTTTGCCCTGGCCCCCAACCGCGCCGGCCCCCCCGGGGCTCGAGCCAAACGGCCGCGGCGCGAACGCAGCTCGCCCAGACGCATTTTCGGGGGCACCAGCGACCCGACGGGCTGGGTGGGGAGGGGGGCAGGTGGATGGCCAATTCGCGATGTTTCTGCTGGTCGTTCGCGGCCCCGCCGCCCACTCAGCCCGAGGCCCCCCAGGGGGTGGAGGGGTTCATTCTCTTGGCCCGCGAATGCAAACAACGCGAGACGCAACTAAATGGTCCCCCGCGCCACAGTCAGCGCCTAGTACCGGACCTCCAGGGCGGGGGCGCAATGCGCATGCTGGCGCGCGCCATCTACTGCGGAATGGAAAAGCCAAGCCGCCGACGTTAGCCAGCTGGCCGCAACGCTCATAAGCGAGACTGCGCTCGAATGATGCACCCGCTGCCCCGCATCAGGCTTGTTCGAGCTCGAGCTGCGGCTGCGAGGTCAATCAATCATGTTGCCGTTGAAGGCGCCGCGCTGGGGACAGTGGCGGTCGGCGTCGGCGGCGCCGCGATTGGCGGCGGCGTGGCCTTGCATGTCGCGGGCCAATCAGCAGCCGAAGCACCGAAAACCATTCCATTCACATTGAAATGCCACGGGAACTGCCGCCGCAACCAACGAGCCAGCGGGCGCCAGTCGGCAGCGCGCCAGGGCGCCGGGGCCGAGGCCAGCCCAGGACGCCGCCAGCCCTCGACGGCGGCGCCGGCCAGTGACCTTGCGGCGGCGGCTGGCAAAACGCACAGGTCATCAGTGGCGCAATGCCTTTTGGGGGCGGCGGGCAGAACGAGAAGGGCACTGGCGGGTCACCGGCGGCGGCGGCGGTCGGTGACCGCGCGGGGTCCAGGAGGCGGCGGCAGAGGCAGCCAGGCGAGACCGCGGGGCGCGCAGGGCGTGCAGGTGGACAGCAACGCGGCGTTTCTTTGCAGCTGGGTCCTCCTCGCAGCTGACCGGGCCTCTCGGGCGCCCCAGCCTCGCGCGTGCCATCGGAACCATTGGTTTGCCCCCCGCCGCCAAATCCCGGAGGCGGCGTCGCCCCCGGTAGCCAACCTGGGCGCGGATGGCGAGGATGGGCCCGCATCCCCCAAAACTCGCGGACCCTCGGCCCCAGCGGGCGCGGGGGCGACAAGTTCGCCGCCGCGCCTCGGACCAGGGCGAAAACCGGAGCCAAATAACTGGCGGCCGGACAGCTCGCCGGACTCAGCGAGCAAGCCGCTGAACGTGTAGATGCTGCGCTGGTGCAGGTACTGGGTGCCGAAGGCTTCTCCTCCTCCTCCTCCGGCGGCGGCCCCCTCCCTGGGCCTAGTCAGCGGCCAGCGCCTTTGCCCGCGGGCGGCCGCCATTCGCGCGGGCGCCAGGCAGCCAGACAAGAATCGTCGATGCCCCCGACGAGGACACCAGCACCACTCTGAGATGCCTGCGATTAGGGGGGGG